AATAGCTCCTTTCTCCAAAACACACAGTAGCCCCTCTCAAAGTAAGCCTGAGGCTATAACAGATGTTTTCTGGTAATCTAACTTCCTGTGTATAATAGCTGGGGGTTTGACTCCGCACATTCTTCACCCTGCCTGGATCAATACTACTAGTTTTTAGATCCACACTAGTCTAAACGTTACATTTATTAATATGATAATAACACAATAACATACTCCATTGACAAGATTCAACGTCATATCAACGTCTGGGAAGACATTGCTTTACGTCCAGATGCACACCTTACGTCGTTTAGACGTGGAAAACAGGTCCTCGACCGACTCACGTGTCAGGCTGTAACCTCGCATAAGTGTGCGTCGGTTGTTTAGGGTGTTATCTATTATTTTTTCACAGTAGTCAAAAAGTAAATGCCTGGCGGTGGTGTAGCGGTTGCGTAATGAGACTTCAGTCACAACGACGCGGGTTCAAATCCCTGTCGACTTGTCACTTTTTAGCGAACAATTTTTCTCTGTTTGGTTAAAAACGAATAAACACTCAACATAAGATTATGTAGTGGCTAATAATAAAACTTGTGAACCCATGCATTTGCATACAATCTCAAGTGCTCACCCCTTATTTCCAAACTTGAGATTGTTAGCACAACATATGCATACATTCACAAGTTTTATTATTAGCCACTACGTAATCCTATGTTGAGTGTTTATTAGTCTTTAACCAAACAGAAAAAAATTGTTATGCCAGTTTTGTTACCAATGTTCTAACATTTGATATAAATACATTTTCAATCCATGGCTGTAAATCCTGTGTATTTTAACACAATTCACAGTTACTATAGTGTATTAACACATTTGGATATTTTCCCAGTGAGTCTGTTGAAGGAAGAAGTATTCAATTAATTTACTTTAGTACAGATATAAAAGTTCTTGAGGCATCTGTACTCTAGTACAATGTGGGACATTTCACAAGCAAGCTTGTCCACTGAGAAGCTAAATGTCCTACAGTCTACAGATGACTCAAGCCTGTTTCTACAATAAGTAAACTCCTCTACGACTGAGCTTAAAAAGTATGTAAAAATACGAGTATCAGCTTTTCAAATTTACTTTCATACTCAAAGACGGTTCCATAAATTTAATTCTGAAGAATATAAGGTACATTTAACAAACTAAATCTATTTTATGTGAACATGCAGCTTTTACAACATTGACATTTACTGAAGTACATTTTTTATTGTGTACTGTACACATACTTATAAAATACTACCCGCCTCGTACTTAAGCATGCCTTTCAGTTGCACGGAGCAAGCAAAAAAGTGCTTCATTAAAATCTGTATAATTGAAAGTAACAATATTGTCAACAATAACAGACAAATCTGGGTAAGCGACCCTAAAGTCCTCCTCAGCATGAATCCTGTCCATTTCATTTTGGGCGACAGTAGCTCAGTTGGTAGAGCATTTGCCTTTGTTCCCAAAGGTCGTGGGTTCGAGCCCACCATGGGACCTTCTCCACCGACTCCCACTGATGCCTGCTGTCGTTGTGTCCTTGGGCAAGACACTTAACTCACTTAGCCTATAAGGAGTGCGGATATGATGTTCGCTGCATGCCTTGATGTGTATGTGTGTATATGTATGTACTATATGTGTATGCATCAAACTGAAATTTTCCCATTGTGGGACGAATAAAGGACCTTCTATAAATGGGTCTACACCAAAGACTGACTCAGTTGTTAAGGAAGAGCCCAAATCCTGTTCATAGTGAGCAGCAGCAACAGAGGCACTTGTGCAATTTTGGCAGAACTTCCTCCCGACGCCAAATCATTAGGTACTCCTCGTCCTAGAAATAAAACATTTATACAATTAATTGCCATGATCGAAAAGGCAATTCTGTGGCCCCATGCATGAACCTGATAGACCACAAATACTTGAATACTATTCATTAATGAACATAGTGTTACTTTTAACCTCAGTTTTGATTAACATTCATGTGTATATCAGGTTTATGCATAGGGCCACAGAATTATATTGCACTAATGGTGATCTTGAAACAAGAACACAGACATCAAAAATTTTACAGGAACCTGCATGGGGAGTTCAAATGTAGTAGTTTTAATCTACAGCCCTTGACCACCCACTTGTCCATGAAACCCTCCTACCTGAACACATGCGTGTGTGCAGAGAGTTGGGTTATGTGTTTCTTCGGTCATTTATAATCATTTAAATTTATGTTTTTGTATTAAGTCCCATTTGTTCATTTTGTTCATTATTCTTTGCTTATGTTGTTTAAAGAAGCCCTACATTAAGTCATATTTTATAGATTATTTTTCAAGTAAAATTTAGATTTATTTATGCAAGTGTTTAGTAAAGGGACCTGTAACATTTCACTAGTTTTTCAAGCTCCATAATTGTGTTGTATACAGCAATAGTGTACTATGTGTGCAAGTCAAATTTGACTTTACGGAACCATAAGTTATCATGGTTGCTTACCTGGAATCCTGTGTGCATTCCATGCATTTACAACTCGCTGTAAGCCAATCTGGCTGAGAAGACAGGTTAAGTTTGACACACAAAATTTGATGCGGTCATCCTGCATGTCCAGGGTTTCCTGGTCCACGAGGTGTACTAAAGCCGCTTTCAATGGATAATTCACACGGTTGTTCACCTCCGGCCAAATTCGCTCTACCCTAAGATTCTACAAGGAACAAAAGAAAAATAGTGAGTGTGTATGTTCCTTTACATGCAAGCTGAATAAGAAAAGGTTTTAAAGGGGACATATCATGAAAAATCCACTTTTTGTGCCTTAAATGCCTTATGTTGTGTAGTTGGAGCCTCTAGAAGTGCAAAAAATTTGAAATCAGTCTCTTCATGGGTTGCAGAGAACACTTCATATTCTGTTTAGGTAAGATTTTTCAACCCGTTCTGATTTTGCCATTCTCTATTACGTGTTTAGAATTATTACGTCACAGTATTTGCAGCGAGACTGCTACACAGCAAATATATGAGTGTTAAAATGTTAGGGACAGTGTTGAATAATGAGTGTTGGTGTTATTTTAACACCACACAGTTATAAAATAGCACTGCTAGTGTTGCTTGATACAGATTTGAGTTGTCAAATCATAGTGTTAAGTTTTTCACACAGTCAATGGTGTTGACGCAGTTTTAAGCCACGCCCCTACGTAACGGCCGTCACTGACGTGATCTAGACAAAAAACTTTCATCTGCGCCATTTTCTCTCACGGGAATTTGCGATTCGGTAGAGGTAAGTGCTTAATTTGACTGTTTGACTGTGTGACTGGGTATTCAGGACTTAAGTCTTAAGTCTAATATGCAAACAACCTGTCAGTTTTATATTGTAGCATCAGGTAATAGCTAGGTTATAGCTAATATTTGAGCATGACCCTCTCATGTTATAACGTTGGTGAACGTCTGCTCCCTAATAATGAAACTAACCTACTGTGTAAACGGGAGTATATTGTTGGACTTAAATAGTGACGTTATTAGACAAAAAATGCTAGTTAGAGTTGAAAGCTGAAATTTGCAGTTTGTGGCGGGAGCAGTACGCTAACGCAGTATTAAAAACTACATATCCCATGAACGTTAGCGGTTTCGCGGTCTTTCGCCATTCGAGGCCTGGAAAAAGCGGAGTTTTCTTTCGAAGTGTCTTTCCAACTTTTCCGAGTTTGTGTAGTCACAGCCACAGAAACTACGATAAAAGGTAAAGGAAGAAAACGGGTGGCATTTTGAGAATGTAACGAGAGAAGGCTTGGTAATAATGATTGTTAGCTAAATTAGGAAAGATTTGGCGAACAGGGGAAACTTAATATGATTGTAGCACTTAGAATAAGTGTGTAAACTGTTGCTTACTATTTCGTAATTGCTATACATACTATTTTAAATACATAGACAAATATATGTGAATTAATGTAGTAGCTAACGGTATTGTGTTGTAATATATCAGTTAACGGGGAGCGCGTGAGATGCCGGGGAGCGCGTGCAGACCCCTGGTAGTCAAGTCGAATATAATATTTAATACAATACGAAAATGTTCCCACTGACCATCAGTCAGATATTTCAAATAAATATAGATTAACATATTAGGGCCTGGGCTATAACACGGGAAGATGATCAATTACCCAAAAATAACGAGTTCAATAATGTACGCATTATAATTGCACGTAATTTTGCACCGGAACGTTATTTTCTGGAAAAGAATTCCGGCGGACTCATTTTACGTGCGTTCATGACTTCAGACGAAAACAAACTTCGGTAAACATGGGCTTTGGTTGGCCCCGTGGATGGGGATTTTGGATAAAAAATGAACGGATGGAAGTGTCTATAAGAGCACGGTTGGGTGCAAGCTTTGTAATTAGGATTTCGCATATCACCACAGCAAATTCAGCCGCAACTAGCGTGGACGTTAGCTTGACCCTGAGTACAAGGACCACTTTCCACTACGTGACTGGTTTAAGGACCAAGGTAACGGCCTGGACCTCTGTAGACCATTTAACTGTAGACAACTTGGAGTGGTATAAGAAAAGAGGCTGCAAAATGTGCTATATTTTCTTCATGTGCTGTTAACTTAATTTTAAAAATGCGCTGGTCTGCTGTACTCTGTTGAACAAAAAAATCAAATCATTTTCTTGCTTAAGATTATGTAAGTAGTTATTTTTCAATGGTATAGAAACAATACATGATTCATTTAAAACAAAGTCTCTAATTCAATTTTTTATATTGAGTCCTTTCCCTGATAGATATTTTTAATAAAGACTGTTTAAGGAGTAGTATTGGGCAGATAGGCTCAGGTCAATATGTAAGACTTGTGCTTTGATCCTATCCTGCACTTACAGGCTGTGCTTAATGCCATCAAAACTAGATCTAAATCTAGTAAAAATGGGATGAACTGAAATTAGGCTTCTGTTTCCTATAAATGTTTGAACCATGTGAATGTTATTCTTAATCACTGTCTGAGATTTGTTTATTCATGTATATTTTATTTTTTTATCAAAGAAATGCTGGTTCAAGTGGAGTGCAAGGGTGTCCTGAAATGGGTTCGGGTACCAATGAAGGAAGACCACTATGATTACTTTCAATTCATTCAAGAAGGTAAAACTACTGTATAATCTGTGGTTCGTCGTTTGGAAATTACATTAATTGTTTTGGATCATAGTTTCAGCTAAATTCAACCTGATAAATGAATCTGATGTGGCCCTGAAAGACTCATCAAGAGTTGATGTAGATGCTGACATTTTTGATGAGTTGGTGAGATCTGCTGCAGTGTCTTTCAAGGTGTTCACTGGGGAGTCTGGTAAGACACAGTGACATGATGATACAGAGTGTAGTGGCATATAAGGCGCACTGTTAAAATTAAAAGCTTTTATGTGCGCCTAATATGGTATCAATAGAAACATTATTTGTTTTCTTTTTAATACAAATATGATTTGCAATATTGGTAATGTTGCCTTATGTAACATATATTCTCCAACTAAAGTTAAGTACTATTAAACCTTTATTCCCTTAGCTGAGAAAGAGGTTTCTGAGGCTTCCTTCTGCTCAGATGAGGGGTCATCCTTATCCAGTGTGTCTGTGGAGTCATTCTCATCACTTGACTCTGTGAGTTCAGGCTCCACTATAATTACTCAAAGCACTAAAAAATGGAGAAGGCAACTGTTAGAAGGACCGCCTGACAGTAAGGCAGCGAAAGATGTAAGTAGTTCTAAGATTGTCAATAGGATGTCAAAACATTTTCAAAATGCATTAGTTTACATAAAACTTCTCTATTACAGATGGTCTATGTAGCTCTACATCAAAAACCTGGAGGTGAAGACGTATTGAAAGAGTACAACATGACCAAAGGCCTTTCTGATCAAACGAGAAGGAAACTCGTTAACATCCTGGTGGCTGATATGATTGAGAGTCATGGGTAAGTGATCAATTAAATACCATGGATTCTCTGAATGTTTTAATGATCTTATTTGCTATATATGTTTATATCCCCATTGTTTTTTCATATTTATTTCAAACATTTCTATATTGTTTCATTTCTTTCCCTTCTGAAAGACTGATGCTTTTTTAAATATTGTAGTCTGCTTCATAACTGGAACACTTCAAATATCTGTTACTCAGTTCTCAAGTTTTTACCCCAGGCATGTAAAACTTATTTAAGCTAAATTTCAAATTGATTCTCTTGCTTTGGTGTAGGAGAGTCCCACCGCTCAATGTCCGTGTGTCCTATGCCCTTGGAATAGTCACCCTTTTTCCCAATTTGAAGGATAAGGCGTCACCAACTGGTTATGTGAGTATTACAGGAAACTGTTATTTGTTCGTATGTAGAAGCTTTATTTTGAAGTCCTGATACAGTCATCAACTTTGATGGATTTGAATATTGACTCTACCTCTTGTCTGATAGGAACATTACTATGATCCTCGCAGTGGCCAAGGTTACTTGGCCTATAGACTCAAGACAGTCCAGCGCAATACAATGAGTGATTCCAAGAGGACCTCCCCAGACCTGTTGTCTGCTGAACAATATGGCCCCAAGACCCTGCGTGAAACATCGACATCTGAACAGCTGTCTGGAGATGAATGCAGAGAAGCAATATCTGCAATGAAGCATTCAGCAGACCAACCACTTGTGAAGGAGAAGATGAAGGCAACTTTCAAGCATCGTCAGAGCATGCTACATGATCCAGACCAGTCTTCAGCCATCCTAGATCACTTTCCCAGATTTCTGGATACACCAGGTTTGGTAAGAGAAATGGAGAGAAGCTTTATATTCGGATTCTTAAATGTGTTGTGTACCCACCAGGGAGGGAGGGGGGTTATTAGAGAGAGAGATGGCAGAGAGGGGGGGGGGGACAGAGAGCAGAGAGAGTGGGGGACAGAGAGCAGAGAGAGGGGGATACAGGGAACAGAGATGGATGAAGACAGGGGGAGCGAGAGCAGAGAGGGGGACAGAGAGGAACAAAGACAGGGGGAGTGAGAGCAGAGAGGGGGACAGAGAGGAACAAAGACAGGGGGAGTGAGAGCAGAGAGGGGGACAGAGAGGAACAAAGACAGGGGGAGTGAGAGCAGAGAGGGGGACAGAGAGGAACAAAGACAGGGGGAGTGAGAGCAGAGAGGGGGACAGAGAGGAACAGGGGGAGTGAGAGCAGACACGGGGACAGAGAGGAACAAAGACAGGGGGAGTGAGAGCAGACACGGGGACAGAGAGGAAGGGAAGGAGCGAGAGCAGACATGGGGACAGAGCAGAAGGGAAGAAGCGAGAGCAGATGGGGACAGAGAGCAGAAGGGAAGGTGTGCAGGGCAGACAGGGACAGAGAGAGAGGAACAAAGACGGGAGCGAGAGCAGGGGGGGGTGCAGCGAGGGCAAGCAAGAGCAGATAGAGGGGGAGCGAGAGCAGACTGAGGGGGACAGAGACCTTTTTGTCTGAAATGGGGAACACTGGTACCACGTTTTGACATGTTTTCTGTCTTTGTTAGATTAACCAAGACTTCACGTTGTTGTTGGGAGAGGACACTTCAGGAAAGTTTATTTCAAAATGGCCAACATTCTACAAACCGAGGATCATCAGTGTCTGCAAATGCCTTCGCCCTGGTCCCCATGTGGATGACCTTCTGTCTGCTCAAGAGGGATCTAATGATTATGGTAAGTTGGCTATTGTTTGCCAGAACTGTGACTGTGTATACTCATGGGATGTGGGTGTTGTCATTTTAATCCACTAGGATGGGACAGTGACTTGGCCGCTATCCTACTCCTGGTTCATCTCCTGCCTCCAACCAAGAAGGGGAAAAAATTTGGGAGAATCAGTGCAACTGACGCCACTGACCATGTGGTCAAGTTCATGAAGGTACGTTCAGGACATAAATGATGACTGAATATTGTTTTGCCTCTTAACACTTAACTTGCTATGATTTGTCCCTTTTTTGGTCAGCTGTGCGTAGCTCATTGACTGCCATAGATTTATTATTACGCAAATTGAAAAAAAGAAAGGTTTTTCACTATTTTCTGTGTGTTTGGGGTTTGGCTGTAGACCGTGTTTTATTGTGCCAGCAGGTGGCAGCAGTGCTCTGTGGGTGTCTTGGTCAAAGTTCAGTGTCTGAGCGCTGTGAGCAGGAGAGACTGAGGCAATACAAGGCAGGAGGACTACAGCCAGGGAAAAGCTTAGTTTGAGCAGTAAAGGTTTTTCTAGAACTGACAAGAGACCATGTGGAGGGTCAGAGCAGCAGACCAGCGGTTCACCCCAAAAAAAGCAAAAGAAAAGCGGATTATCGCTCATGCTATCACTGAGCTTGCAGCAGGAGTAAGCAGAAAAGTCCGGCCATCGTTACAGCTGGCTCCTTGTGTGGGCTCAGTGATGGTATTAATGATTGTCCGCTTTTCTGTGGCTTTTGGGGTGCAGCGCTGGTCTGCTGCCCTGACCCTCCACATGATCTCTGCTAGCTCTAGAGTCACCTTTACTGTTCAAACTGCCTCCAAATGATGCCTGCACCTCTCTGTATTCTTCCTGCCTTCCATCGCTCCTCTCTCTCCTGCTCATGCGTCCTTAGATCAAACACCCACAGAGTCCTGCTGCCACCGTTTGGGTCAATCAAAAAACAGTCTACAACCAAACCCCAGACATGCACCTGAGCAAGCCCAGGTATGTGTGTGTCTGGTGCAGGTCTCCTGTTCCTTTAGAGACGAGCATGACTTTCTGCCTGGAGTTGGTTGGTTCCAGGCAGGGCCACCATTTGTCTGCCCTTTTTCTATGCGTCTTCAGTAATTAAAGTAGTACTAGAATTTACCATGCTGCTATCCAGAATATATAACTACAATATGTGTTTATAATATTTTGGGTGTTCATTTTGACATGCTAAGATTAATTATGTTAAAAAAACTGCTTTGAAGTCTCACTTTTTCACAAACGCTAGAGGGCGCCAAAATTGCAGGGATGACATAGGAGAATGATCCTTTTCACAGCAGTCATGGCTGGAATCTGTATGAGCAGCGAGTTAATTGATTAATCTGGGGGAGAATCTGAGGTTTCACTGTCATCTGAACAAGGTATAAACATATTTTCATCAGTTTTGTACATAATAGTGTGCAACTCTTTTAACCTTTTTTAGCCTTATATGTGAGATTCAAGCTAATTACTTGCCCTTACGGTCCCCGGACAGTGAAACCTCCGATTCTCCCCCAGATTCATCAATTAACTCGCTGCTCATACAGATTCCAGCCATGACTGCTGTGAAAAGGATCATTCACCTACGTCATCGCTGCAATTTTGGCGCCCCCTAGTGTTTCTATGCGGAAGTGAAAAAGTGCCACTTCAAACATTAAGATTATTCATCTTAACATGTCAAAATGAACACCCGAAATATTATAAACACATATTATAGTTATATATGCTGGATAGCAGCATGGTCAATTCTAGTACTACTTTAAACAACACAAAATACTATTCCTAATTTCCCCTTAAACACTCTTAGGTCGGGACGAGCATGGTGACGTTCCTTGAGAGAGTTGGATCAGCACAGCCCTTCCTCCTCTGTGTTGGAGAAAAGAAGAGTAGCATCCATAAGTTTTACATCATCCTCGATCAGAAGGCCATTCCCTGCGTGGCGCAGACAGCTGTGGCTGCCTTCGACGAACTGTTTAAGGCCCACTTTGTCTTTGCTGAATCTTATGACGAGGCTTTGTGCAACTTCTACACCTTCATTCAGACAACGGTATATGGGATTGACATCGGCACGACCAAAGAGAGTCCACGGGTCAAGGAAATACGGGCAAAAATGGATCATATTGAGGTTTGAAAATGTTCACCTGTTTCATTTGCAAGTTGCAGCACAAAACTTGTTCTGTTTTTTTTCAACATTTGAAGTTCAGTCATGCTATGTATCCAGGACGTACTTTGCGTTTGAAATGTGTTGAGAATGGGTGTTCTTCTGTTTTTTACACCTATTGTGGATTCAAGAAACATTTAATGAGAGTACACAGAGACATTGTAGCCTCTTGTTCTGTTGGCCCTATGGACCAGGGTGACAGTAGTGGTCATGTTCCTGATCCACTAATTGCAGTTTCTGTCATTAGTAACCCAGCTTCTGAAAAAAGACAGTTACTGGATATGTGTTGCTCTATTGTGGCTCAAGTACAGGCCTCTGGAGTTTCCGAAGGTACTGTGCAGTCTTTAGTTAGTTCAATGGAGGAATTAGTCAATGACGTTCATGTCCAAGCGCAGGATGCTGTTCTTAAAACTATTTCATCTGAAGTAACTGAAGAAACTCTAAATAAAGTTGAAGACTGTTTTCAGCAGCTTGAAAATCCCTTTTCATCCCTCAATACTGAAACTAAGAGGCAAAGACATTTTGAGAAGAAATGGAAAATTGTGGAGCCAGTAGAGCATGTTCTTGGTGTGCGTTATGATCTACGCAAAGATAGGACTACTGGTGTGTACACTCAAATTCCTGTGAACGACAAATTTGTGTATGTGCCTATTTTGGGAACTCTTGAGTCAATGTTCACCAACCAGGAACTCTGCAACTGTTTCCAGCAAGTAAAGCTTCATGAAGATGGCCTTTTCAAAGATATCAATGATGGTTCATATTTCAGAAATCATCCATTATTTTCACAACAAGAACATGCTCTTCAAATTCAGCTTTATTATGATGACTTTGAAACTGCCAATCCGCTAGGATCTAAAAAGGGAATTCACAAACTTGGCTGTGTTTACTTTATTTTAAGAAATTTACCAATGAAACTGAATTCTGTTTTGATGAACATTCATCTTGTTGCACTATTTCATTCAGAGGACTTGAAAAAATATGGTTTTGAGCCAATCCTACAGCCTCTAGTTCATGACTTAAAAGTTTTGGAGACACAGGGAATCCAGGTACCCTTTTCAGATGTGCCAATTAAGGGGTCTATTATTCAGGTTACTGGGGATAATTTGGCTATACATGGACTTTTTGGTATGGTTGAATCGTTTAGTGCCACTTACTGTTGTCGATTTTGTTTAACTGACAAGACATGTTTGCAGTCAGTCTTTAGTGAGGATGCCCCAGACTTAATTCTTCGCACAAAGGAGCTGTACTCTGAACACTGCAATGCCATGGCACAAAATCCCACTCGAGTTCACTCATTTGGTGTTAAAAGAACCTGTCCCCTAAATGCTCTGCATTTTTTTCATTGCTCAGACAACTATGCAGTGGATCTTATGCATGACCTACTAGAAGGTGTTGTGCAGTATGAGTTAAAGCTTCTTTTTCAGTATTTGGTGAAGGACTACATTTCTTTAAACACCCTCTCTCAAAGGATTCAGAGCTTTAACTATGGATACAGTGAGAGAAAGAACAGACCCAGTGGAGTCAAAGTTGATGATGATGGAAATGATCTCGGGCTCAATGCCATCCAGTCCTGGTGCCTTTTGCGAAATACTCCCTTGATTTTTGGTGACCTAGTTGCTCACAATAACAGTCATTGGAATGTTATTATGCTTTTGATTCAGATCGTCAACATTGTATTCTCGCCTATTATAACAGATGGTATGACTTATTATTTGAAACACCTAATTTCTGACCATCACAAACTTTTTAAGTTGGTGTTTACAGATAAGAGGCTCATCCCAAAGCATCATCTAATGATACACTACCCCCGATGTATTAGGAAAATAGGTCCACTTATACACATGTGGTGTATGCGATTTGAAGGGAAGCACAATTTCTTCAAGAGGTCTGTGAAAAGTTTTAAAAACTTAACTAAAACTTTAGTAAAGAAACATCAGCATCAGTTGGCTTTTCATTGGGAGAATTTTTATTTCAAAAGATTACAGTTTGGCCCAATTAAACATGTCTTGACTAGCAATTTGGACGGCAGTGTTGCCTTGAGTTCCACTCCAACTTTGAATGTGTCTAGTGTGTCCACAACTTCCTGGGTAAAAGTCTATGGAACTGAGTATCAGAAAGGAATGTTCGTTTGTGCTAGTGTTAAAAATGAAATGCCTGTGTTCAAGAAGATTATCAATATCATCATCAAAGAGGAAGAAGTGTTTCTTTTGGCAACTGAAGTTTGTACCATGAATTTCAATGATCATCTGAATGCATTCTGCATTGAAGAGTTAGAGGATGTTTTCAGTGTAATTTGTTTGGCTGATCTCATCTATTACAGACCATACGACAGGCAGTTTTCACCTGAAAATGATGAAAAAATGTTTATTGTACCTCACTGCAGTTTTGTTAATATGGATTGAATTTTCAATACAAAGGACTTTTTCCATACAATTTCTGCTATTTTTCTTTTATTACATTTGGAAATTTGACACCTGCTAGTGCCATTTCGGTTTAACACCTTGTAGTGTTAATGATTTCCAACACTGAGTTTTGTTGTCTTCACACTTAACTGGTGTTGGTGTTGAATAAAGCAGTGTTCATTTTTAACACTTTATTTTAACACTAACGTCAGTGTAATGTGAATACAACACCATAAAGTGTTATATAGTATTGGTGTAGTGTTGATTTTTAACACCATAGAGTGTTGATTCAACAAAAATTGGGTGTCAATTATCTAACACTTTCAAAAGTGTTAATTTAACACTTAAAAAAGTGGATGCATATAGACACTTTATTGGTGTTAAAATTAACACTGTGGGTGTTGATTTAACACTGTTGAATTTGCTGTGTATATAAGGGCATGGGCGTCTAACAAAACACTTCGGCCCAGCCCTCCTCCACTGTGCATCACTTAATTTGTAGTCCAAGCTCAAGGATGCCAGCGAACAGGGCTGGACTGGCCATCGGGCGTACCGGGCAATGCCCAAAGGGCAGATGCCCATATTTGGGCCGGTCTGTCTGCCTCATACAAAACACATGTTTATGAGAAGTGTAAATCCGTTGAGAATTGTTCGAGCGGGGCGCGGGGCACCTGCTGTATGTACTCGAACGGGATTCCGCCACCTCAGCGGCCGCAGTGTTCCGGGGCATCTGCGTCACCCCTCTCCTCTCGAAGCGCGATTAAACGCCCTAAATAAAGCTCTGATACCTACATTTTGCATTGCATTAAAAGTTCATGTTTGAGCCCAAAAGTAATATGTTGTGAACAAATTAAACAGATTTAGAGCCAGCAAATGGCTGACAATATGCATTTCAGTCTTTTTTGACCAATTCTCATCGCTGTAACAAACAATAGTGTTGTCTGTGTCCACCTCCCTCACTCTGAGACATGTTCATTACCCTCTTGTAATGTAGACTATTGCATTTTATTTTATTGTTATAACTGCACATATCCTGATCCTCTACAGTATTTGCTTCCACATACTGTATAAACTAGGAGTCGGCAACCTGCGGCTCCGGAGGCGCATGCGTCTTTTTCCTTCTGTAGAAGGAAAAACGTTCTTAACGTTTTTAAATGCTGTAAAATTGTGCATAAGTAATATTCAATTTAAAATTTTCTGTCAACGTGTCTGTCAAACCGGCGTGTGAGCATCATAGACTGTGCGCATGGATCCCAAAGCTAAAAAGAGAAGAGTCGCTAATAAGACTGGACTAAGAATGAAAATGTACATTTGCTTTCAGTCAATGAGGAAGGCCTGCTTCATGTTTGCGATGTAATGAGAAGTTTCTATGAGATAATTGTATCTATGCTTAGAAACTACAAAAATGGCCGCTCGGGGTGGAGTTTAACCAGTGTCACCTGGATGGGGGCGTGGTCAAAAGCGCCTCATTTGCATTTAAAGAGACAGCACCAAAACAGGTTGCTCTCAGACGCACCTCAGAACAGGTGTAGAAGAAAGGCCCGTGGAGCTACAAATAATGAGACTCAGACCCAGGCATTGCAGTTACGCTTTATATAGGCCACAAATTAATGATTTAAATGTAAAAATCTATTATTTTAAAACATGATATGTCCACTTTAAAAAGTGGTCATGGACTTGCTTATAAATAATATGTATATCATTAAATCTAGATTACCACTTTTTGAAACTTTTTTGCTGCTAATAAGTTAGATTAAACATTACTATTTACATTAAAATTAAGAGTTCACTACTTATAATTTCATAATTACATGTAATGTTCGAGCACCTAACTTTGATAACAAATTTGCAATTAATTACTCCGCCCTAGTACTGTGTCTGTCATAATACAGCCAATCAATGAATGACAAGAGTATAGTAAGTACCTTGGTTGACGTAGTCTGGGCATAGGGCTGCCAACTAACATTGAAGCGGTATTCGGAAAGGATTTCCTGCATATACAGGTATAGGTAAAACTCCTTCCCATGGTCCACACGCACTTGATCCCACATACCATGTGTCGCCACTGCAGGTCTATCAAAAAAAAATGAAAATAAAAACATATTACTAGCTTACCAAACAGTAGAGAATAGAGAAAATGTGTGTAAGAGAGTAAGCGAGAGAGGTCCAAAGAAAATTCAAAGGAGTGTGCCACAAACAGCTCACTCTTTGGGATGCAGGTACAGGTGAGAGAAAGGTGAGTGAGTACAAAGATAGATGAGTCACAGTGAAAAGAAGAGTGGGACATAAGGGGTTTCAGAGTCTACATGCTAAGCATAGTTTTACCAACCTGTACACTTCTTCATAAATAGTGAGGTTATTTTTAACAGGCATTGTGGCATATGCAACAATTTTTGAGCTGTAGCCATCCACTGCCACAACATGGGTGACACCAAACATCACCAACTTTTCATTCTGGTCCAGGTGAATCTTGTGTCCCATGTATTCTGCATGGTAGGGGATGCTGATTCAAGTTCCGAGCACCCTTTAAAGTAGATATTAACCATACATATTAACAAATATACATGCCACCATTCTCAACACATTGTGTCACAATATTTACACTTGTGACAAGCTTACACATTTGCATCTGGCACTTACACGTTGTCGCAAATTGTGGTAAGACTGGTGCACCTGTCTCAATACTCTCCCCACTCGGCGTTCACGAGCACGTACTCCAATGGACGTCAAATATCCAGTCATAAACTTTCGTCCATATGACGGGCCTGTCTGTAATATGCATATGTTTCTAGACTTTAATTCAAATATTAAAGCCCTTGTCACAGTCTGCACAGTAGGCCATGTACGTATGGGAAAGCGCAAATGAAGGCTGTGTATCACAGACCAAATGGCAGGACTTTGTTTACATATTACAAAAGTAGCGCATTTACGCAGTGTGCATTTACTACAGTCGTTTTACTGAAAGGAACTGGGCCGTAATAATGTAGGTTCATACTGCACATACCTGATGAATTGAAGAGATCACTGCAGTTTCCAGATCTGCGTCGGAAACATGATTTCGACGTCTAAGGTCGTTTTCAAAGCAGAATCTCCTCACCGATATTTCTGAGCAACCATTCGCCCCGTGGCAATATAAAGCATCACTGATCTCTGCATGTGTTGCCCCATTTTTAAAAAGTCTCCTAATTAAATGTGTATAAGGCTGGAGGGAAGCCATCAAAATCTCCTAAAACTTGCTGAACAATTGTTGGCGGCTCTGATCTGAGGTCTCTTCTCTCTTCCGGTGTCGCAAATAATAATAAAACGAAATAATAGTAATGCCATAATTCTTTTGAGAATTTTAAACAACTAGAGCCAAAACAAACACATTGATATTGAAGCATAAAGGATTTGATTTTCCAATTTGATTTAGAAAAGGAAAATAACAATAAACGAATGGAAAATTTGTTTTTCTGATTTTATTTTGAAACAGAATAACTAATAATCGAAGGGTACACGGATTACGGACCAAGCATTATTCAATATTTTGGTATTTTTTCATTTTTTGCTTTAAAACAAAAATTAAATCAAATATCAAGCCAATTTTTCGTTTTTCCTCATCAAAAATGAAAGATGAAAATTCCAGCCGTTCTAACCCTTAGTCTGTTGGTCTCCAAATGTGAGAATCTGATTCGGGCTCTATTCAGAGGAGTGTGTGGTGAATTTCAAGACAATTGGACAAAATCTGACCCTTTAACAAGCCTCTAAGTCCTAAAAATTGTGAATCTTTGAAGCCCCGCCTATCAAAACAGTAGGTGCGGCGGGCACACGACGCACATACCCAGACTCGTCTTACAACCCTTAACAACATTTTTTCCAAATCAGGTGTAACAACTGTGTGGGAAAAAAAAATGTATTGGATTTTTCAATTAGCAGGGAGGATTGTCTCAGGGATGTGGACCCATACTTTTTTGGACAACATTTCAGACAGCCAATTAACTCCCCTGAGGGTCCGAGCCAAAATCAAACCATGGATTGTGGTAGAAGGTTCTTTGGACGATGTCAGTGCCAATTTAGGTGTCAGTAGGGTCAAAGATGGGAGCGTAATTAAGGAAAAGCAAATGGCAGATTTTATCACTCCAAATCTCAAAATGTTCATGTCTTTTTTGGAATAATTTGAAAACGATAATACATAGAGGTCTGGTGGTCGGAACGCTGACTCAGCAACCACTCCTGATGTACCCGCTCAGATTTCAGACTCCTAACCTAAACCTTATATGAATAAATGCTAATTTGTTGACACATTTTTGCCCTTATTCCTGTTAAATCATTTAAATTTGCCCAATATAGGAGTATATGATTGGTAGAGGACCCAACTTTGCCCTTGAAGATCCTTTAAGGAGAAAACTCTAATCTCCAAACCCAAATCTTTTACCTAACACCACATTGTTTCTTATCGACCCGACTCAAATTAATTCTATTCTGTTCTACTCTATTCTTATTCTATTTTTCCTCCTGCTACTTCTTCTCACCATCTGTGCCTTTTTTCACATTATGGTGCTGTTTTTCCCCCCAAGAAACTTTCAGATTTGGGTGAAGCCAAACATGGTTCAGGTGGAGGTTAAGGGATGTTTTCTTCTTTTCTGCCTTCTTTTTGTTGTCCTTGTTTTCATTTGTCTTATCGTCCTTTTCTGTCCTCTCCTCTCTTGTGTTTCGAGGGATCTGTGTTTGGAGATGATCAGGTCACTGATATTAGTATGAATGTGGAAATGATGCAAATGATAAACTCTTTTGTGGAACTCACAACAACTGAAAATGTAAAATGAAAAGGCAATTAACCCTCCAAGGTCTAGGGTCATTTTGGGGAACTATATCTAAACTGAAATTGGACATTTAAAGATATCTAAATAAGCTAAATTGAAATTGGACGTTTGAAGATCTCTAAATACTCAAAATTTGGAATTGGACATTGCAAAAAGTAGATAGACCGCCATTTTGGGTGGCCATGTGGCCTTTGTCCTGTCCATGTCCTTCTTTGTTCTGTGTGTGTCCTCTTCTGTCCTTTGTCCATGTGTTTTATGTTCTGTTTTTTAAGTGTTTGTCCATTAAGCTCAAACTTAACTGACAAAACAAACTCACTAACTAGAACAAAGTTTAAAGCTTCAGTGAGCCTTTTGCATTTTTGGGTAAACTAGTTAATTTTAATAGAGAGAAAGAGTAGTTTTCAGCTGGGCAAGAGAAAGTTGAATAAGAGGGAAAAAAATATTATTTTGAAATGTTACAAGACATTAGGAGAAGATTGTACAGTATGTGTGAAGAAAGTTGTATTGTAAAGTTTAACACCAGGTTTAAAATGAATAATACTAGTTTTAAAAGTCACTTTGAAACTTTGAAACTGTTTCTTGGTTTTAGAATTACCCTTCACCTTATGTTTTGATTTTAAAATGTATTTAACAAATGTTTTTTTGCTTTTGTTTTTGAGAAAAAATACTTAATCACTGCCAGAGTTTTGAAACAGCCAGGTCCATCCATGTTCCATTGTGTGGTGAGAAAACCACCCCCATGCTATTGCATCTCCACACAGCACCATCGACACCTACAAAACAGGCCGATTTTCGAGGATCAAAAGCGCGTTTGAAGGACTGCTTGTTGGTATGTGGCATCTGATACGCAGACAGATAAGAGTTTTGAAATAAGAGCAGAGTGAATATTTCTGGTATAGAGAAAGGTGGTAAGCCAAGAATCAACTTCTTGTACAAGCTAGCCAGGAGTCGAACCTAGAATCTTCTGATCCGTAGTCAGACGCGTTATCCATTGCGCCACTAGCCCTGAAGATCAGAAAGGGTGCCCAGCAATAGTAGTCGCCAATTTAGGGTTTGAGTACAGCTTCTCAATGAAAGCTGCATTGCAACACTAGTTAGTGGAAAATATTCTAGAATGTTTCAGCAGAACAACGCCATGACAACCCCATGGCTTCTCAATGATATCAACGATAGTGATTCTAAAATCTACTTGCATGTTCTAAAATGTCTCACTTCTTGGCATCACTATGGTAACCCAATGGTAATGCAACCCATTGAAGAAGTGCAAATATATTCCACCCATTGAAATTGAATATGAGCTGTGTTGTGTTCACAAATATTTAATTCTTCCACTTTTGAGTTGAAGTCAGGCTCTGATTGTGATTTTGCCAGAAACAAACACATCAAACACATATTGCTTCCTGCTTCTCGAGAGAGCAGTCGTGTCCCTCTGCTCTGCTCTGCTTTTGCTTCGCCTTTTAATCTCCTTGAATCATTTTATTTACATTTTTTGTTTCTCCTTTAATCATTTTATTTACAAAACGAGGGTTACTCCTTCTACACACTTCAGCTTTGTGGAATTTATCAACTTTAATCATGTTGGGATGAAAGAGAAGGAGAAGCGTCTGCGGCGGCTGTTGTGCTCTGGAAAATCAGCTCAAATCTCTTCAAACACGGATATCTATTGTGGAAACAGAAATGGGACTAAACCCGACTCTTCCAATGAGTGAAAATGGGATGAATGGACAGACTGGAAATGTAAGTTATGACGTCATTTCTTTTACCAAAATCAACAATGAGAATTATTGGAACAATTGTGGAGCTAAACCCAAAGTTGACAAAGCTAAGAATGACAATAGGAGTGAAATAAGGCCACAACTAAATGTTCTGAAGACTTCAAACCGCTTTTTACCCCTTTCTGAAACAACAAAGCCGCTAAAAACTGCAGCGCCTCCACCAAGGACAAACTGTGTCCTTATCGGAGATGGTTCGGTGAAAAATGTAAACATGGAGTCCATGCTCACTGTCTCAGTTCACTCTGCAAAAGTTGCTGAGATAAGGACTCTTCTGCCTAAAGTGTTTTCTGAGAACAGTGGTGTGCGTACATTATTGATCCACACGGGGGCGGTAGATATCTATGAGAAGGCAAGCGAGAAGTTACGAATGGATTTAACGCTGTTACTGGATGACCTCAAGAAAATGGACATAAACATTTTTCTTAGTGGCCCACTTCCAAATATAGATGGAAAAATGGAGAAGTTTAGCCGTCTGTATCAGCTAAATACATTCCTACTCAATGAGTGTTCACGCAGAGGACTTGGCTTCATTGAAAACTTGAATCTGTTCTGGAATAGGCACGAGCTTTTTGAAGAAAAAGGTCCACATCTGAACAACTACGGAGTAAAAGTGTTGATGGATAACTTTGCATCTGCCCTAAGACCTCAGCCTGCGCAGCGCGTGCAGCCGTTGAAAGGGAGAAAAAAGAAGCAAAGGGCACAGACATCACGACCATCTCCACCGACTCCCGAGGTCTCTGCACCCCCACCGCCTCAAAAGAACTCCACACCTTCACGATTCAAGAAGAACTCAACACCTCCAAGGTTCCAAAAGAACTCAACACCTCCACGGCTCCGAAAGAGCTCAACGCCTCCACCCCCAGCATCATCAGCAGCTCCCACATCTTCATCAGCGCCATCAGCATATACAGCACCACCAGCAGCAGTGGATACAGCAGCAGCAGTGGCTGCTCCATCATCTTCAGCAGCAGCAGTGGCTGCTCCATCATCTTCAGCAGCACCTTCCCCACCTACAGCTCCCGTGAAGCTTCCCCCATTACTCCAGGCTACAGTCAGGCCTGTACTGGGGGTTCCTCAACCACCTCTGTCTCCACCAAAGACTCCCTCATCACCTTCCATGGACCCGGCTTGGGTCCCCCCCGCTACATCCACTCCATCTAGGGAAAATGAGGACGACCTTTCC